GTAGAATAATCTCCCCTTTAGTTGTTTCACTGGTCATATTGAAGCCGTTTAAGACTTGAGCTGCAGGTACGATTTGACTTTGTAGGCCGAGATGCTCCACGACCCTCGATCGGATGATATTTGCCGAGCTACCTGGATCCACAAAAACACGCTTAACTTGAACTTTATTTAATAAGATAGAAATTACCAGAGCATCGTTATGAGGCTGAGAAATGCCTTCTGTTTCTTCGTTGTTGAATGATAAAGTGCCTTCGGGCACATAATCTCGGGCTCGTTTTTCCCTAGTGATTGATACCTTAGTGCGTTTGAATATAGGTCCATGTGGGATATCGACCCCACCGACGATCATATGAATGATATGTTGTGATTCCTCTTATTCATTTTTCCTGTTGGCGTCCCTTTATCTGAAATGATTCTTGGCTCGATCGCTGAGGAACTCTCGAAGGTGGCCCTCATTGAATAGACGGGTTACCTCCTCCCTTAATTGCGTGCAATCCTCGGTCTTGTGACCATGCGTGCCATGATACCTGCACATCAAATTTAGATTTCTTTGGGAAGGATCGGTTTGTATGGGCTTGGGCCACCTAGTATCTCTGATCCTTTCGATTGCCGAAACAATGGCCGATGTATCGATGCTAAAGTTATATTCCGATAACCGAGGTGCCTCTGTGGGATGGGCATACTTGTCGAAACCACTTTTGCTCATAAGTCCCCGAGAATTCTGTCCTCGATCACTTCTTCGATCGTTCCGGGCGGAATTGCATCCTGAACCATTGTTCCTTTGATCTGCGATATATGGTTGATATCGGTCCCTGTTCGACCTTGGCTCCCTATCGACATCCCTCTGGTTTTTAATCGTCGACCTATTTGGATATACTGAACCGGAAGGGGCTCCTAATTGGTCGTCCTCGATCCTGATCTTCGACTGATATCAATTGTGTATATCTGCCCAAGTTATAGCTAGATACTCGATCAAATTTTGTTTCAACTGCCGCGATGCTATCGAACTCTGTTCGTTCAACCCTTGGGTGAAAGCTTGAACGGCCCAATCATCTGTGACCGATGGCAATTCCATGCGTTCCATTTGAAATCGGGACACGAACTCCCTTAGCATTTCATTATCCCTTTGTCTAACCTTGAAAAGGTCTGATTTCCTCGTTGCGACCTTTATGGCCCCGGCATGTGCCTTTACGAAAAAATCTGCTAACATGGCAAATGAATCGATGGAATTTGGTGGCAGGTTGTGATACCAAATCATTGCTCCCTTCGAAAGGGTCTCTCCGAATTTTTTCAACATCACGGATTCGATTTCATCATCCTCTAAATCATTACCCTTAATGGCGCATGTATATGAAGTAACATGCTCGTTGGGATCGGTAGTCCCATTGTATTTGGGTATGTCTGGCATACGAAACTTCTTTGGAATAGGCTTCGGAGCCGCACTCGAAGGAAACGACTTTTGTACAAACTTCTTCAAATCCATCCCTCTCGAGATTGGCGGTGCCCCTGGTATCTGATCAATTTGAGAGTTGTATGTCTCCATTTTTTATCGTCGGCTTCAATTCTCTTCTCCCCTGATTCAATTCTTTTGGTGAGTTCCTCAAGCATTTTCATTACCGCGGGATTAGTCTCCGATTCATTACCATTCGATCTCTCCGGTACTGGCTCGGTATGACAAGTATTTTCCGGCTCGACCGTATTCGGAGCTCTATGTTGATTTTGTAACTGAGCAATAGCGGCTTGCTGAGCCTGAAGCATCTCGAATATTAATTGGAGACTGACTCCTTCGTCTCCTCTGCCATGTGTTCCTTGGCCATTAGATCGGCCTTCTCTGCGTACACTCCGCGTTTAGAGCAACGTGCGAACTGGCATCGACTGGGTTGGCAACCGGTGTTGCCCCGAGATTAGCCTGTGGCACCTCGATTTTTAGAGCAATCACATTTTCGTTTTTATCGTGGAATCCGAGGCTATTGTTACCGTGTGTGGATGCGTTTTGTGAGTTTGACATGTTTTAACCTGAAAGCGAAGGCACTCAACAAGAACAAGCGTAAAATAGTGTGTTTTACCAAAATCAGAACTGAATAATCACTATTGTCCTTATCCCCACGGCGGGCGCCAAACTGTTTACCCTAAAATTCGAGTAACAATTAAACTTATTTAGTGATTTTAAGGATACGTGATTTAATCCAATACCAATTGACAAACAAGGAATTGAATAGATAATCTGAATAAAAAAATAAATCAAACAAGTGTTCTAGCAGTGCTTTCGATCTCGATTCGAGATGGTCTCGAGGTTGAGTAGGAAGAACAGTAAGGAACAGAGAATCAACAGTAATGGAGAGTAAGTAAAATAAAGAACAGTATTCTTGTATATCTTTATCAGTGAATTAATGCTCTTTACAAATGAATGGGGTCCCTCTTTATATAGTAGAGAAATCCTAAATAAGGTACAGTTCTAATAACGGAAATAAATTCCATGATTGGCATCAATAACCGCTTGATTCGATCTGTTCCGGGATTTTCGCCGACATTTTCGGTCGGTTGCTAATATCTCGTCATTCCGTTATTATGCCCTACTCGAAGTCAATCATGCTCGGTCTCGATCTTTGGCGAGCACTTCAATCTTCATACTTCATACTCTGCCATTGAGCCCGAGCCTGGTTTATTACGAGCTCGCTCTCGAGGCAGCTCCTCGTACCTTCGAAATCCGACATGCCCGATTTCGACCGTATACAATTTTCCAAGAAGCTAGACATGCTCTTTGCTCTTTTACTCTTATCTTCAATTGGTTGGTTTTTGTAGAGATTTATTAGCTCTTGAACTTCGTTTGGATCATTTGGCCAGATTTGAGAAGAAATAACTTCATAATTATTTCCTTCATATATGATCATGCATGCTTTGATATCACAAAGTATTGAGAGCTCTGAGATTTTCTTGATTAAGCAAGCTTTCCTTTTTGGGAAACTAGACTTCCTGGTCTTGTGATCTTGAATAAGTTCCATGTTGATTTTTGATCTTCCCATTTTAATTTTCCTGTTCAAGAAACATACATATGATTAAATAGAAGAAAGAAAAAAAAACAGATAATATAATGAAGTTTCTGAAAGTAACAGAGTCGGCAATGTTTCCAAACGGCTAGAAGAACAAGAAAAGAAAAGAAAAAAGTGGAGAGAAAAAGAAAGAAAATGAGGAAATCTTACAGAAGTGTCCCAAATAAGTCATAACTTACCAACATCTAGTCATTAATCATAAACTTACCAAAACTAGCCAAGCATATATAAAAATTAAAAATTCAAATAAATAAATTTATTTCTCTCCAAGAATCACACACAAAGATCTCCTTTCATATTTTAAAGCGCGATCAACAACATTNTATACAAAATTTGAGAAAGATTGGAGGTGATTTGGACTGATTTGGTATCAAAATTCGTAGTTAATATCGAGTTCAAAAATTCTTATGCGACACTGTATCAAACATGTATCTCACACACAAGTATACATGGATATACATGTGATATACATTTTATACAAATATGATATATATGTGATACACAAATGATACACTCTGTGATACACATTTTTGTTTTCATGTTCATCTCTACTTCAAATTTTCAATTCAAACTACCTCAAAACTCCACCAAATCATCCCAAAATTGAGATTCAAACTCCTTAAGATGTACCCAATCTATTCTAATAACACTCACATGCAAAAAAGGCAAAAATTTAACTTTTTTTGGTTACAAATAGCTAATTGACAAATATTGGTAATATTTTATGAATTAACTAATTTTTGTGATAAGCTACATATAAATAGACATAGTTGATAATTTCCCGAAAAGAAAAAGAAAGCCCAACAAGACAAAATACAAATCTATAGAAAAAATCGCAATTTATTACCATGATAAATGTTGATTTTGTAGATTTTACTTTTCGGGGTAAGATTGAATTTTCTCTAAATTTAAGAAGGGCATCAATTTTTTGAATTTCTTTCTTTAAAACTAGAAACAAAATTTTGGCTTAAATGGTCTGTTTACTAGTAAATCACCAAAAAGTAAAGTAATAAAGACTTTTATTAGAGACTTTCATATTGTCAAGTTTTTTTTTTTTTTTGAAGAGTGGATCCTTAGAGCCACTCAGATCCTTAGAACTTTATTCCCTTATTGATAAAATTGAAAGAAATAATCTCCAATTAATCCAAAATACATAAAATTCATTGGCGAAAAAAACACAATAGAATTTAAAGAAGAGCAATTTTATTGTGCCTTAATAAAATACAAACTCCAAAGTCCAGGAAAAGAAAAGTTGAGAAATTAACTTGAAACACATGACGATTAAAAATATGAAACGTGAAAAAGAAAGAAAGAAAATTACTTGGTTATGTGTGGGAGCAAAGTGAATACTTCAACTCAAAACAGCCAAATTAGCACAATGTTTTCCGAAAGTAAAAATATGGGTAAAGTCTATGTACACACTACTCTCCTCAGACTCGACTTATGGGATTACACTGGGTTTGTTGTTGTTATTTTTGTTTTCTAAGAGTACGACTGCCACAGGGACGGATCTAGCGCTATGGATACAGATTCAATTGAACCCATAACTTTCGACAAAACCCGAGAATATACTGTGCAAAATTACTGAAATATGAGCATATATTAGTGTTTGAACCCATAGACTAAATGAGGCTATGGGTTCAGTGGTAAAACTGATGGGCAAAGTTTCACTTATTGCGAGAAGACTGGAGTTCGAGTCTCTGTGTACATAACTTTTATTGCAATTTTATTTGAGTTACTGTTTGACTTCTTTGTTACTTATGGACTTTTTTTGTCTCTTCCCATTTAAAGAGGTCTGTTTCTTATCCTTAAAAGATGAGGACCCACCTAATTAATTTTATTCTTTAATGTGTACTTCATTAACTTGTGGGGCTTTTTAATAATTATAAAAAAGTTGGTCTTCATAAAACTTTAAGAGATCAAAACCTTCCACTTTTCAGAAGGTTCATCAGTTCCCAAATTTTTAAAGCTAAGGTTTCAAAAGAATCAAAGCAAAGGCTCTTCTTCGGTTCTTCTTGGACATAAACTGCAATCAATCCTCTTCTTTAGTTTTGCTGGTATGCCTCTATTGCTCTTTCTCAATAATAATGCAATAATATTTATTAATTATAAGTTACAAGATTTGCCACTGCTGTTCTTGGTTCTAGCATTTTGGTTCCATATAAGAAACGGGTCAAATGTTTTACTCTATTACTTCACTAATTAAAGACTTTCTTTTGGATTCATTTATTTTAACTGTTAAACTCATGTTTAGCTCACATATAGTGAATTTTAGTGATAAACTGCTATGATTTATTTTGTGCTTCAACATTTGAGTTTTAAGGATAAATTTAACTTTTTATATCATATTAATTACTAGTCAATCATTTCCTAAACTAATCTTAATTTTAGGCCTAGGGAATAACTCCATTCTTGTTGTACTGAAGAAATTAGATATTGTATCATATTAACTCCAACTTCATAAGTACTTAAGTTGTTGAAATATCGATTTGGTTGGATTAAGTTTTAATTATACCTTGAAGTGTAATTTATTTTTTGTGATTTTTAGGATCTTTTTAGTGAGGGTGGATATGATCACGAAATTTTTCAAGGCTATTCCAACTCCTCAAAATTCTGGTTCTGGTTCTAGTCCTCCTACCCCGAGTTCTTCTCCATGTCCAATTATTCATGACAATATCAATCTTTCGGCGGTATCAAACAAAGAGAAAATATTGAATTTGAATCTTGAACCTGATCCCGCAGAAAGAAAGTAAATTTCAGAGTATCCTCCGAATTTACGTGACCGAGTGAGAAGATATTATATTCAACAAGGACCTTGTCAACCTCGTAATTGTAGTTTTCCAAAAAGAGATTTTGGTAGATTTATGCGTCAATTTAATCTTGAATGGTTTAACACTTCATACTCTGGATGGTTAGAATATAGTGTTAAAGTTGATGCAGCATTTTGCTTATGTTGTTACTTGTTTAAAAATGAGCATGGAGGACATGGAAAAGTTGGAAATTCTTTCACAAAGAGTAGTTTTAGAGCTTGGAATAAAGCTACAGAAAGGCTTAACGCACATATTGGAGAGGTGAATAGTCTTCACAATAGATGTTTTATGATGATGAGAGATTTAATTAATCAAGAACAATCAATTCTAACCTCTTTTGACAAGCAGTCTGAAAAAATTAAAAGTGATTATCGAGTTCGGTTGAATGCTTCGATTGATGTGGCAAAATTTCTTTTAAAATAAGGAATATCTTTCCGGGGCCACGATGAAGGTGAAACTTCTACTAAAAGAGGAAACTTTGTAGAACTCTTACAATGGTATGCAGATAGGGATGATGAAGTGAAAAAAATTGTGCTACAAAGTGCTCCACAAAACAACATGACGATTGCTCCAAATATCCAAAAAGAGATCGTGAATGCTTGTGCGAAAGAAATAATTAAAGCAATAGTTGAAGATTTAAATGAAGATTATTTTAGAATTTTGGTTGATGAATCTAAGGACGTCTCTCATAAGGAACAAATGGCTCTTGTTCTGCGGTATGTCAACAAAGAGGGAAAACTTATTGAGTGATTTCTTAGTATTGTTCATGTTAAAAAAACAACTTCATCGTCATTACAAAAAGCAATCTATGATTTGCTTTTAGAGCACTCATTGAGTCCATCTCAAATACGGGGACAAGGTTATGATGGAGCTAGTAACATGCAAGGAGAAATCAATGGTCTTAAAACTTTAATTCTGAAAGATAATCCGTCGGCATATTGTATACATTGCTTTGCCCATCAATTGCAATTGACTCTTGTAGCCGTTGCAAAACAAATTGTGATGTAGATCAATTTTTTTATATTTTTGCTAATGTCTTGAATATTGTTGGAAGTTCTTTTAAGCGTAGGGATATGCTACGAGAAGACCAGACAAAAAAACTAGAGGAGCTACAAGTGCTTGGTGAAGTTCATACAGGAAGTGGACTAAATCAAGAACTTGGACTCCAAAGGCCAGGTGATACCCGATGGGGTTCTCATTTTAAGACAGTGCGTAACTTTATTACATTATTCTCGTCAATCATTAATGTACTTGAGTTTCTTGTAAGTGAGGGTGCAAATTATCTTGAGAGATCAGTGGCAAAAAGTCTAGTGAATGACATAAGATCTTTTGAATTTGTGCATATGATGCATTTGATGTTAAAATTATTAGCAATCACAAATGATTTGAATATAGATTTGTAAAGAAAAGATCAGGATATTATAAATGCTATGAAGCTTGTTGGTTTCGCCAAGAGGCAATTGCAAGTGATGAGAGAATCTAAATGGAAATCTTTGATAGATGACGCCTCTTCATTTTGTTCCAAGCACGATATTGTGATCCCTAAAATGGATAAGAACTATCATCTTGGAAAGTCAAAGCGTAGGAGTTCAAGTGTTACATATTCTCATCATTTGCGTGTCGAAGTTTTTAATACTGTTATTGATTTGCAACTTTCGAAGCTTAATAGTCGTTTTGATGCGGTGAATAGTAATCTACTTCTTGGTATGGCTAGTTTGAGTCCGGATAATTCTTTTGCAAATTATGATAAAGACAGAATTATGAAACTTGCTACACTTTATCCTCATGAGTTTAGTGGTTCAAAGCTTGAAGATCTCAGTTACGAGCTTGACAACTATATTCTCTTTGTGAAAGAAGACAATGATTTCTCTAACTTGAAAGGACTTGGAGATCTTTCAGAAACATTAGTTGAAACAGATTTGTACAAGACTTGGAGACTTGTGTTTTTGCTTGTGAAATTAAGTCTGATATTGCCTGTCACTACTGCAACAGTAGAAAGAGCTTTTTCTTCAATGAAGTACATCAAAAATGACTTGCGTAGCAGAATTGGTGATGAATTTTTGAATGACTGTTTAGTTTGTTATATAGAAGATGAAGTATTTGAAAGTGTACCTAATGATGCGATTATTTATCGTTTTCAAAACATGACAACCCGTTGGGTACAATTGTAATGGTGATATTTATTGAATATATATTACGTTAGATGGTTCGGTACTTGTTACATATATATTAAATATCATTGTTCGTATTTCATTCGGTTATTATTGTATAGTACCTTGAGGTATATCTTAGAGTCTAAATCTTGAACCCATAAAGTTAAATTTCTGGATCCGCCTCTGGACTACCATAATTATATATAAGAGTTTTGACGCGTCATTTTTTTAGAAACTAAACTTAATTATTTTTCTTGTCCCTTTTCCAATTGGAAAGATTATAATGTAATGATGATTAGTAGGTTTACAAAAAGCAAATTTTATAATTTGCTGTTTAAATGTCATGGAGGTTAGACTTTATGTTCTCCTCCTTCATGTAGTTACGTATTGATTATACAAAGGGTAAATCCACTTTCCATTGTTGTTCTTAGGTTGGCATAATTAGACTCCCAACAGCTTAATTGTTGTACAAAGGTTTCACAAATATCTTCATATGCATCCATTTCTAGTAAATAACTAAGGGGCTACTAGAGAATATACATAAAGTACACAGAGGAACGACTCAAAGTAAGACCCCAATATTAGATTGATTAATATTGGGGTCGAAGATATATATGTGTTGGTTTGATTTTAATATCTATACATATTGTGCTTTCGTTATTATATTATCAGTATTATGTCTTATATATGCATGTTTGACTATATATAACTTATCAAAGTTATGAAAACTTCACCTAAAATATTATGAAAACTACGTAATTTTTTTCTCATATCTCAGTTCAATCTTTAAAGAGCATGAAATCTCATTCTTTGCTAGAATAAAATATTATGCTAGAACTGAAGAAAAGAATTGACTTCATCAGTTTTATAAATCTGCCACACCAAACATTACTCATGAAACATAGTGACAAATGGGGTGTTCAAACCGAACCGGAAAAATCACACCAAACCTATAAGTCAAATCAAACTGATTAAAAATTCGACTATGTTTGGTTTGATTTGGTTTGGTATTGAGTAAAAAAACCAGAACCAAACTGACATATAAATATATATTTTTTTATTTATACTTTTAAGACTTTTTATAGAATTTTGTTTAAAAGATATCTAGAAATATTTGAGATCCTCTCATGGGGTGTAATCTATACCGTGCATTCATTTTTATTTACTTTAAATAATGAATTGTATCATTTTCTTATTAATTGTTATTGAAATGCATCAATCATTTCTTTGCTCTTTCATATACATATTTCAAGAATTCTTATATCTTTTTCGAATTTGAAGTGGTATTTCGATAATCTAAAATTACACATAACATATCATTATTTAGGTGTCATATTGATTTTTATGTTTAATTATTAAATTAATTTTTATGTGTAATTATTAAATTAAGTTAACCATGAAAGCATACATTAACCAAAAATCATTGTTAGACGACTAAGAAAATAAATTATTATGTGTTACTAAAAAAATATTTCCATAAGAATACTTTAATAAATCATGTTTGTTATTTTTTTTAATTTTCCCATAATATAATTGCTGAGGGTAGCAAACTTTTCATTGGGCTTGAATGTCACTAAGTTCACATTAAATGAAAGAAAAGAGATGTCATGGTCTTTGACGTAGTAAACAAATATTTCCTAGTCACTACCCTATAACTAGACAATAAACTGTATTTATATCAAATGAAAGAAAAGAGACGTCATGGTCTTTGACACAACAACCAAATATTTCCCTGATCCACTAGCCTATAATTAAGTAATATGCTGAATTTATAAACTTACAGATAATAAAATACGTTCATATAGTTTTCAAATGCCGCTTCTCTTATGTTGGGGAACAACGTAATTCCCTCTTTGCTTTCAAAGCAATATCACATAAGATCAGCAGTATAACAACAGACTAATGCAAAAAGAACAAGCACTACCATGCTTGCCCAACCAGCTTCTTTCACTGTATATGTTGTAAAAAAAAAATCCAACTACAGTCATGACATTTGTCCCTGTTTCATAGTAATCGAAGATTCGAAGCCCTTGAAATTCCATAAAAGTAAAGCCATTCAATTAATCAAGGGATCTCTGGAATGCAACCGTGGCCGAAAAAATAAAGAAGTTAAGCACATTATTGATAGCAAGTGTTGCAACAGATGTAAAGGTCGTCGTCGCTATTAAGTATAAAGTTTTCATTTCAGTGATTTTGTTTATTTTTCCTTTTCTCTNCCCCCTCATCTTTCCTTATATTTATATGAGATATTTCCAAAGAACCCTAAAGTACAATCAGAGAGAATATTGGACAGAATATTCCCTCTGAAGATACTAGTACAAAACTAGCCGTTATTCCTAACTCTACTACTCGACCTCGGCAACGACCGGTCGCTAGGCTATGCAGCTCATTCGATCACTGGTCGACCTCGACCACACCACTCGTAATGAATTTGCGAATCACTCTTAGCGTCCTCTTCTGCACGACTCGATCCTCAATCTGATTTTGACCCATATAGTTACAAGCTGACAACAATGGTGAGAAGGACTTACTTATCATTAATAAGAAGTAACAACAATTACTTTTTCAAACCAAATCAAAATGGTATTTATTGTCAGATTAAAAGTAGCTACAGATTTAACAATGCAAGCATAATACTGCTAGGACCGCAGACTGCTAAGACAGGTCCAAACTAGAGTACATTGAAGATATTCATTACTGTTATACATGATTTTTGTGGAAATACAATATAGAACCAGAAGCCTAGAAACAATCAAAAGGAAAGCAAATACAAATTGTTGAATTGAACGACACTAGGTTTGCAATTCTTGGCAGCTTAGGCAAGAGACTCCCACTCTTTGTTTTCTCTGATTAGCTATAGGGGCATTGAATTTTAGGGGTCTAAACCAAGAGCTTTATTGGCCTAGAGGTGGAGCCGCCCTTGGTAAGACAGGATGGCCAAACTGAATATCTATGGGACTATGGCCATAGCTCGTATATTGCATGCCTGTCCAATGAGGATGATAGGCAGCAGCGTTCATGGCCAACATGTAATTCTCAGCAACAACATGGTCTTGAGCAACTCTCCATCGCTTGTTTACAGCAGCACCATCAAAAGGCATGCTTGGTTTCTTCCTTTTCTTCATCTTTACTGCCTCCCCAACAGCTATTGGACACTCTTCTACAGTCCTTAAAGCCCTAGAAGTCTCTTCTTTTTGAGAAGGTACAGATAATACCTCTACCTTCACAGCTGCAGACTCTGATGGGAATTGTACTTTAGGGAGGGAAATGTGTTCTGACACCATATCTTGAACTCGAGGAGCACTAACCCCATGCTCTGAACTACTGCTATTAGACTTGTTGATTCTGTTTATTGTGTCTCTTAGAGTCATGTTAGGCAAGAGGGTGTCAGCAAGTATATTTCTAGCCCCGCATACGCAAATAGAGTTAGAGATTATATGTTCCCTTATACATTTGTTGCAGAAACTACTAAAACAACATTTGCTTGCTATGACTGCATCTTTTATTAATCCTATACACAATGGGCAATGTAGCTCCGGTGGTATATTACTAAAGGAACGCTTAGAAGAAGACGAAGAGGAAGAAAACCCTTGAACCTCCTTTGAAGAAGCAACGTCATTGGACTTTGTTGGAGGCTTCACTTTCTTGATGCCATAATTGGGGTCACCATTTGTAGGGCAGTGCTGAATGAAATGGCCAGGCTCGTTGCATCGATGACACACATAACCCCGTGGTGGCTTTTTCCATTCCATCCCACCTCGACCAAAGCCGTAGCCGATAGAGGAATGGAGGTGCCGCCCTAAGTCTGGAGTATCAATTAAATTCTTGATCTTAGTCTCCTCATCATTTATACTATTAGTGGGGGCATTTAACACTGGATTGCCTGATTGATTTGGGATCAATTTTGGAATTGCATAGACATCATCCCCAAAATCATCGTAATCAATATTGTGATAATTCTTAGCAGCAATTGACTCTCCTTTTACTACTGTATTATTCTCCTCACACATTTGGGCTTGGTCTAGTTTTGGCTCTGTAAGACATGGGATTACTATGGGCAAGCGAGGTAAACCAGGAACACGACAAATCAAAACACTTGTATTTTTAGGAATCAAAGCGTCTTGATCTACATAATCTTCGTTAGTTTGAGCGTTGGTGATAAGAAGATCAAAATCTTTACCTCTACCAAAACGCTTGGATTCAAATATTTTTAATTTCAAATTGCCAACAGAAATAAATTGATCAAGAATTGGAATTGCATCATAATCTTTAGCACTTTTATACTTGAAATACACAGCCATGATTGAATTCTTTTTCTTAGAAAAAAGAAATCAAAGAATAATAATAACAAAGAGGCCCTGTTATCAAGAATACAATAGGGCTAGTTCAAAATATTGAAATACAAACAGAATCGATAGAGTTGTACCAAAATAACACCAAACAGAATCGTATCAAGCTAATTCTCTTGACGAACTCCGATTCTTCAACAGGCTTCAGTAGGCACTAGGGTTTCAATTCGCACCCAGCACGAACAACAACCAATTCAAAACGCCGAGAGTTTAGACGGATGGAATTGAATCAAAGCACTGATTCTTCAAAAGTACGCACACAGCAGGGAACACGAGAGCGTCTTGAAATTGCGACGGAAGCAAATATTTGTGTGTTGTTTGAGGGAATTGTTTCCTGAAATCTGAATGAGGTTCTTCTTTATATAGATTTTCCCTACTCTCATTCTTTCCGAAACCCACTTGGATTATAATTACATAATCACCGACTCAGGTTACCTATTTTAGAAGAAAACAAAAATAGACAAGACTTTAAACCTGCTAGCTAATTTAATATTTAATTACATAATCTATGGCATTATCAGGATAATTCACAAAAATATTTATTTTTCATAAAGTTCACACTTGTACTTTTTTTATTTTTTCTTAGGTGGAAATTCTATTTTGTATGACATTAAGGACACAACAACTACAAGTATGGTGCGCATAGTTTGACCAAATCCGAAATTCAAATCGAAATTCGAAATTTTTGGATTTTTGGTTTGGATTTTTGAATTACGAATTGTATATAAAATTTTTAATTTTCACACTAATTCTTATCCACCGTATTAATGTTCTTGTTGCATTTTCTTGATAATAATTCATTACTTGGATACTATATTTGGATGGTTGGGGTGAGAATGAGGAACTTTTCGAACAATTTAACATGAGTACTTCATTTGTATATTACATCTCGACTTATAAGCCCAAACTAAATATCCAAACCGATTAATTCGAAAACGTACTTAAAATATCTGATCCAATTCGAGCTTATTTGGATTGGATTTGGATTATTATTTCTTCAATCCGAAAACCGAAATTTTCATGTTCAATCCGAATTGCCCGAACGCCCACCCCTAGCTACAAGGGTTATTGTAAAATTATAAGTAATCATTCATCCTTAATCAGCGATTTTGTACTTTACCTACCCTATAAAAATTTTCACTATAAATTTATATTTAATTGATCTCCAATACAAATATTAAGTAGTAGGTGCAAAATCCAAAAAGTACACAAAAAGGAGTAGAATCCAAAATCCAAGCTAGATCTTCTAATATCTAGAGTGAAGTGGATAAACCACTCTCTTTGTATATAAAAAACAAGATGCACAGTCACTGATACAATATAAAAGAAATTGAAAGGAGTCCTATGGAAAAGAGAATTACACATAAATACAACTCATATACATGCAACTCATAAATCAGCGATTAATGCACCTCAAAAATTCTAATTTTTCTTTCTCTAACTTCCAAATAGCGGAAATCAAAAATAAAATTAAAATTTTTGCTGCTAGTTCCTAATTTGCACAGAGAAATCAACGAGGAAATCGACTTTATACCTAAATTGTTCGAAAAGTAAGAAAAAAACACAATTTTCAATTTCTGAAAAAAGATCTTTTTGATGGTCAAAGACCTTTTGTCGAACTATATCTGTCTATTTTCTAAGAGTAGTTTTCCTCTTCCTGTTACTCAACCCAGAAGGCAATGAGGGGGGAATCGATCTCATGTCATCCATATAGATGACCGCCCTCCAAACCAACTGGGCAACCCAAAAGGTTATAGAGCTACTTTAGCTAATATACATTAAGAACATTTTAGGAGATTTGCAACTCATTGGGAATAAAGACCACCAGCTGGGGGAACTAGTTTTTGACGTACTGTGTATATGTTCGTCTCGTTGGATACTTGCAAGAGTCCACTCAACAAATTCACATTTCGAAACCCATATCAGGATTGCTAGGTTAAAGATTTCCAGTTATCTTTCAGAAGGAACTGGCGAAGAGGAATGAATGAAAAGAATCAAGTAATATATGAATCTATCATATCGTGAAACAAATCAGTGTTTCCTATAATATAATCACAAACAGATCTTATCATTATTCTTAACCATCCACCCTCTCTGAATAAAAGGGGAAACAATCTGAATTTGCTCGGACCAGCCATCCAACTAAATGGCAAGGATGATGTTCTAGAGCACGACGAGCCCAGTTGCAGATCGGAAATAGCTGATAGATGATAACCACAAGCTAATAAAAGGCAAAACTGGTTGAGTTAATCTTGAATCTCCAAGTTAATTCATTGATGACGCGACTTCAATGGCACTGCCTAATGGCCATGCGGCTTCAACCAGGGAATTCTTGTATTTCACCTTTTTCACCAATGTCATTTCTTGACGAGCATCAAGTCCTGTCCAATAAAGAAAACAATGACTAGCTGAAACATACTAAAAATGATGAGTGATTTGTATATTCCTGAAGGAAGACTAAGTCTTACCAAATCCATCTACAAGTAGTGTGTACTGGTAAACAAGATCCATGCACAAGAACGGCAAGTTATCAGGGTCCACACGAGGAAATGTAGCTTTGGCATCATCAATTCTAGTATCACAAGCACGTCTAGCTGCACTCTCAAAATCAATTGGGCGAACTTTTGCAACAGCTGCATTTGGATCAACAAAACCAACCTATGCCCACAGTACATTAAGATAGTCAGATAGCCATAGAAGTAGGGAATTTATCCTTCTTGGGACAGCAAAAAATGATACAATTCTAAACCCATCAAATCTTGGTAAGCATCTAACTTAATAGTGACTTTTACCTCAGCAGCTCGGTCAAAGAAAAATGAGGCAACAAACATATTCTTCTGACCATCTCCGCCTCCACCGTTCCACACACCACCAAAGGTGCATTTCATGTGGGTGCATGCTGATTCATTAACTTTCAGAGCCTTCAGGGCTACCATCCTACAATTTGTCAGGCTTGATCCTTGAGACATAGCTGATGCTGTGTAAGTCTTTCCTCCATACTTGTAGGACCCTTGTAGAGAACAAATTGTCAAAATACATTTGCTTATATAGGAAATTATAGTTATAAAGAATAATTCTAATACCAACAGGAGTTACAGGCCTTTGTAAATTAGGTATCTTATGCTACTACTTTCTGCAACATTTTCAAATGATGATAGACAACATAATTGAATCCTTTCTGATAAGTTCATTAATTCTAATTCACTTCTATTCCAGTAGAAAAAGTTTCTCTCTTTCTCCAGTTGTACGTATTTCATACATTTTTAGATATGAAGTTGGGTAAAATATAACGTGATCTACGCGTGATGCCATGAGTTCAGGAAAATTATTATTATTTTGGAGTTCAGGCAGATTATTTTTTTATAAGTTCAGGCAAATTTTTGAATTGGATAGATAAAAGAATTGCCATAAGTTGGAAATAGATGAGTGACTTGCTTTAAGAGTAACGGAACATTTAAGGCCAACCTTGACTTTTGGGGTAAAGAAAAGTTGAACTTCAACAAAGGAAAGGGGAATTTCTCTTACTCATTCATTTGGGGGGGGGTTGGAGGTAAGTGATACTTAAAAGAACAATGCAACAGAAGAAGCAACCATGGGACAGAATATAGCAGATTGAGAGAAGTAGTGAATACCATGATGCCCTGTCAAGATGCAAGGACTGCCGGATTCCTTGGTCACCTTCAGAATCTCAGCTCGAGCTGCTAGCAAGCCATAGTGCAAATAACTGCAAACAAGGAAAGGGTGAGTAAACACAAGGAAAGCCACATGTCCAGATGACAAGTGAGATGTCAATAAGTCAGACAAGAAATTCAAGGTAAATTGAAAAGGCGGCAACTGGGTACGCTGCTGAGATCATTTCTTTATATAGGATGAGACGAACCTGTGAACATAGAGGTAATATTTTGCCCCCTTGAGATACATTTCTTGCACATAAGTATCCTCTCCACCTGATAGTTTTGGAGCCTTCTGAGCATCTGCCTCTGAGATGGCATATGCCATTTGTACTGAGCCACCTCCAAGATCAACCACCCCAACAGTATCAGAATATTTCTTACCCAAATTGCCTAGCAAATAATTAATGGTGACCTGCACAGACATTGGCAATACAAATTCAGCTAGCTGTATCAATTGGTTGTCTCATCTATCCCACCCTCAGTTTATGAACACAAGGTTAGACAAGTTCTACAACCCATGTGACCTACATATGCAATTATCTTAATAGCAAAACAATTTTACTAGAAAATCAAGCCTCCTTGTTTTGTACCTTGGACTAGCTTAATGCTGTTTTTGATAGTTATCAAGTAAAGGGAAAAAAAGGGCAAGCCTCAACTTTTTCTAATGAATCCCCCAAATTTTCCACTATTACTGAATAGGGATAACTTAGAGTTCACTATTTGAAGAAGGGAGAATTAGAAAGCTATGAATGAATTGAATTTGGTAACAAGCTACATTTAACTAAGCACAACACATGTAGGATAAGTGACATACCACTTGAGATGTAGCTAGTGAAATAAAAGAAAGAAAAACACTGTCTCAAAAGATAAGGCGATGACTTAGATTCTGAATAATGCAAGCCATGTACCTTTTAGATTTTAATTCATACGAAGTATTTGTAGGTAACAACACCTATTTGAAGAGTATGGAGAATCAAGCTGAGAAAAAACAAAAAGAACAATGCTTCTTAATTCATCCTAAATTCATTTTCTTTATAACCGAGAAATCCCCGAGGGCTACTGGCGCACGGTTCAAAACTTGGTGGATAATGGGCCCGCCCTTCTACCCTTCTCCACTTAAATACCAAGTTTTTGTCTACGGTAAGTATAATCCAAATAATCTAAAACAACGTTCAATACACAGGACAAAATAGGAAAATCTTTCCTTTTGTTATGACCAAGAAATCCGTCTAGAGCCAACCCTTAGGACCCCATCCCTCTACCTTTCTACACTTAAATACCAGGCTTAGATTGCATGGCGCAGGGCTTGAGTCTTTCCAATTTGCTTATTCTACCTTTTGTTTCAAATACTGTAGGACAGGACTAAGGATAAACTTAAAAGTTGTTCCCCTCATCCCTACCTTTAGGATAGAATAAGTTATCCACCAAAATTTAAAACTCAACGCCTTATCCCTACCCCTATGGAAGGGATAGGTTATTCTGACTTTAGCACAAAGCTCTCCTTTCCTACTTACGTAGGATAAATAATCTTATCTTTCAGATCCAATCAGTTGTTTTCCTGCAATCCTGTCTAGTGTCACTAAACATGGTTTGAAGGAGACTGAAATACTTCTGTGGAAATTATAGGGATAGAAAGTGAATGCAACAAGAAAGCATTTGGAAAGGAGAGAGAGTCTTGTTCTATGGTTCAACAACTCCAACTTGGGTTGCTATTCATGAAGCTTCTTGAAAGGCAGCTTCTTCAAGATTTTAATTGGTAATACTGAAAGATTGCCACAAGGGTCCCACCTCATTCATTATCTTGCATTTTCTGCTTCTGGTCGTTCTCTCCTTGAACCTGAGCTAGAATTCACTCCTTTCATTCTATTTACCCTAGATCTGAGCATAAAGAGCCAACAATCTTGAATCAACATCACATAAGAGGTAAACTAGCACAAAATGGATCCTTGACAAGAGAATATAACCACTGCCCTATTTTTTCTTTTTTCGCCAGTCTCTAAGAAGCTCAAATTTAAATTAAGCAAGCACCTCTAACATAGAACGGAGTGGTAGTTCTAAGTAAGAAAAGCATAACAAGTTGAGGTTGACATTACATACCCATTGGTAAGCACCTTCCTGATTCCCATCAAGAACAGTAACCCAACTCGCCTTTGACTTGAGGCTGCTTTTGCTCTTCAGAAAATCCCTCACCTTCAAATGAGATTTTAGTCATTCGAAGTATTCAGAAATCCAAAATCGAAAAAGAACACTTAAATTCGAATACAACACATGCCCAAGTGGTAAAAAGCCTGTTATGAATGATGGTCTAAGAAAGAAATCAATTTTACCGCTTGAAGAATCTTGTCAGATGCATTACCTCCCAACTGCCTCAAACCTGCAGTTGCCTAGATAGACTCCACATCAGTATTCAGCATATAGGGCAGGCTAAAGAATCCAAATCTCAATTTACGAAATAATTCTAATAACATTATCCCCTCACCCCAACTCTGACTGGTGTATTACTGCGCAAATCCACCGGAAGTACATCCTCTGCTTTCTCCAGAAGTGATTGAAGAGATTTTGCAGCAGCTGCAGGGTCACTAGCATATGCACTCAAACCCGGTTTTTTCTGTAGTGCCAAAGCCAACTAGAGATGAACATTTGGTGCCAAGAGAAAACCTTTACACTGTATATAGGCACTCATCCAAACTTAAAGGGTACATCTAGTATGGAGCCGTGGGAAATCGTCATTAACAATGTCAGTTGTGTATAAAAGTAGGTTGCATATGGTAATTAAAAATGAGTAATAAGAGTACAATATAACGTCCTTGATGATAATTTTGAGTATTGAAGGTTAAACAACAATGTCTAAATGTTAATTGAAGTAACCAATATGAAGTTAGAGTTTCGATATTCGTCAAATAAATTAACTTCCGCTGATAAGTGGCAGAGTCTAAGCGACAGAAATTATTTTCCCACTTTTCTATATTTTCCTGGAAAATGATTTCATCAACAAATATATTTCCTGCAAAACATTCTTGTCACACCAAATATGCCCAATAAGTAGAACATAAAGGCCGTTCCGCCTGCAATTATGGAGTCTATTCTTGTAATCCCTCTGTTCAATTTATGTAGCACGCTTTCCTTTTTAGTACGTCCCAAAAAGAAAGACACATTTCTATATTCAGATACAATTTAACTTTAAACTTCTCGTTTTACCCCTAATGAGATGATTTATAGCCACACCAATTCTATGACTTGTTTTAGACTACAAATTTCAAAAGTCTTATGTTCTTTCTTAGTTTCTCATCAAGACCCACCTTTATCACTTAATGCAAATGAACGTGATCCTGCTCCAAGTGGGATCGAGAATAATCTTATTCCAAGTGGGAGCGAGATGAATGAGTTTGGTCCGAGTGAGGGCGAATATTGATCCGAACGGGAACAATTTAAGATTTGATGAATCTCAAATAAGACGTAGTAACCGTCAAAGAATCCTTCGTCAACATTTTGACATTGAAGGGGAGAACTTTTTACAGTGCTCCTGCAAGAGGAAAATGGGCCATGTATGTGCAGAGGCTCTTCCTACCCTTCAAAGCATAAGTGAATAAATGCAATGGAAGAAGAAAAACTCTATGTCAAATCAAACAAGGCCAGATAAAATTGGACAGAGGGAATAGCATTTTGAAGAATAAACTGACAATGTAGTGAATTTTCACACCATCAGTATAATTCCACTTGTTATATCAGGTTACTAATTAATGCTCATTAAATATAGCATGTATGCATTATTTAGACAGTGAGTGCATAGAACTTAAACTCAGAATCCAAAAATTTACCTGTACGAAGAGCTCGAGATCATTGCCAATGGGAACAAGATCCAAATGATGATCAAAGCAAAAAACATGAACCCTACTACCCGAACTACCCGCATCAAATATAACCGCATAATTCCTGGATCCAAATTTCGGTGAAAACTTCCTATTAACTGACCCTCCCATCGACTCAGAATATTCACTCGTCGGCATTATAAATAGCACAAAACAAATAAGCAATACCGGAACCGCAATTACTAAAATAACCCCACGGTATCTATGGATCTTATCGGAGAGTGACGAATCTCCGCCGTGTTGCTGTTGCCTGTTTCGTTTTATCATTTTCTCATGCTCCATTTGAAGTGGTGGACCCGGGTCCTGTTGTTGTTGTATTTGTTCTAATAAAAGTTCGGTTGCTGAAGGTGATCGGTATCGGATCTGACCGTTACCCGGCGGTAGTTTTTTGGGCTGGGTTTCTGTTATTGACGACTCCAGTTCTGAAAAATTGTAGTACAGCAGCAGGAACAGCTTGTAATTTGGGGGAAAGTAAAATCCAAAATGCCGCTCCTGTTAAAGAGATTTTTGCTTCCAGAATGCTACTATTTGTTGGCTTTTTGATGGTGAAAGGGATGATCCAAGAGTGAAGGATAAGCAAAGGGGAGTAGTGAAGTGCAGTGGGTAAGAAGAGGGAGTTTCGGCTTTGTGTCTGTGGAAATGGAGAATTGAAGTGTTGGACCGGGCAAGGGGAGTATCGTAGAGAAAATGATCAAAATGGTCCTTAATGTATAGAGGTTGGAATATTTTGGTCCCGGATATATACAACTTAATAGGAATAGTCCTTAATGTATACAAAAGGTGATAGATTTGGTACTCAACCATAAAACTAACAGTAAAAAATAAAAAATTCTGTTAAACTTCACCCCAGTCTCTCCAAACTCCCTCCTATTCTCTCATTCACCATCAACGACCTTAAATCCAAACCCTCTCTCAAACAAAAATGGATCTGCTTGGGAAGATAAATTATTTTGCTTGTTAGTCTTATGGATTTTATAAATGAAAATCCTTTTTTTCTTGTTTGAATTTACTTGCGAATCTGTTTTAATCACTTCATTTATTAAAATTTCAGTTTGATTTATAATTTTACAACCGGAGATACATAGACTTGAATCTAATACTTGAGCGATGGATCATGAAATATATTCTCTATAGTATTCAAAGTTTGGAAAACCAATTTAATTTCATTAAATCTTAAGAGAATAGTTTTCAATGTGCTATAGAATTCTAAACTTTTGCTTTGTATCTTGATGAAGTTTGAATTGTTTTCTTACTGGGAAAGATTCAAAGAAGCAGAATATGGTCAACCAGAAAATTCTAGCCGTTACAGGACTAGTAATATAGTCGAAGAAGAGGTGATGGGCCAATTCGTGATATGTAACCAGTAATGTTGCTTCACAAGATTTCAACAGGGACAATTAAAATCGTCTTGTCCAAGTTAGTTGTTGTGCAAAAACAAGTTTTGATGTTTAAATACAAGGATATATCATATGGTTCACTCTTGTTCTTGATATTTTCTTCCATTCAACATATCAATCATGTGTAAAAGTTTTAGTTGTTTGAAATGGGTGCTTTGGTAGTAACATAAATGGTGGAAGAGATGGGTCTTTTTATTGAGAGCTTCGCACTGTAAAAGATAGAAGATGAGGGGAAAGGGATCTGCCAGGATTTGCTTTTGAGGGATTGGGGTTAAATTTAACAGATTTTTTATTTTCTACTGTTAGTTTTAGGGTTGAGGACCAAAGTTATCACCTTTTGTATACATTAAGGACTATTCCTATTAAGTTGTATATATCCAGGACCAAAATATTCCAACCCTTATACATTAAGGACCATTTTGATCATTTTCTATCGTACACGAGCAATTTGGTTAAGTTCGAACCTTAAAATTAGTAACAATGAATTTACACGCGAAATCGGTCCTCGGAACGAGCTCGGTTATAAGTTAACAAACAACTGAATAACAATTTGAACGATAGCTAAAGGATAAAAATTAACTTTATTGCTTTGATATGCATGCCAACACTAGTCTTAAAATAAAAAGGTTCTCCCATTTATATAGTAAGAGAGTTTCAATTATAATACACGTCTAAATAAGGTAAAAATCTTCTCCTTCCAATAAACGTTGATCTGTAGTTGATATCGGACGAGATTTGCGCCGTAACATCCGGTTGAGGGCGGATATTACGGCTCCCCGCTTATCGTGCCTAACCGTCTTTTTCCTTAGTCTTGGCCCTTCACTCTGCTCTGGCCCGGTGCTCACCGTATCCGGTCCCGGGTGCACCATTCGTCCTCCTCGAGCTCTGAGATGTGGAACCCCTCGGCTTTACTTATGTCAGATCGTGCTTCCCTCTCATTTCTTTACTGGAAAATTGTAGGTAACTTTATTCCGGATTTTACCAGTACACAGATAATCCCTCACTTTTCGAAGAGTAGATTTATCGAAACGACGAGAAGTGATTAATTGATCCCAGTTCCTTCCTCTGTACACTATAATCGGGTCGACGAGTCTGTGAAACGTCCCATCATTCGCATTGTTTTGACTTCGGACATGTGTCAACCGCCGGTTGACCATCCTCGAATGCAAAACGTCATGTATTAATTATCTCCCTTCTATAAAAGCTTTGGTTCCCTTATTTTCACTTTTTACTTTCCGATTTCAAACCTTCTTAAGTTACCCCCGAACTTTCTACTTGCTCATAATTCCTTCAAATTTTCATACATTGTTCTTCACATCTTCATTTCTTCATCTCCAATCTTCAAATCTTCATATTTCGTCTTTGAATCTTCAAGTTTGACCTTCAAATCTTCATACCCATCTTCAAACCTTCATATCCGCCTTCAAACCTTCATATTCTCAGATATCGATGGCGAAAATCTCGAAGTCTATGCCTTAAAATACTGCTCCTTTAACTGCCACCCCGACCGCTGACATCAGTATGAACCTGCCGGCAGCGGCCCTAGAACCTCCCCTTAAGCACTTTATTCCCGAAGGCTATTCCATAGACAACAATTTTAAGGTCAAGAAGGCATCCAAACAAGGGGATCGCAGTGAGGAGGTGTGGAGGTATATCTGCTCCATCACCGAAGATACGCTCCTGACGGTCCGGAAGGATTGCAAGTGGGGAGGCAAGGAAATAGTCATCCCCGGTCCTGACGAGGATATTACAACTCACATGGAAGGGTACTTAAGCGTTTATACGTACTTCTTCACGCTTGGTCCGATGGACCCGGTGGTCCTCGACTTTTGCAAAAGGTATGAGGTCTGCCTCGGGCAGATCCATCCATCTTTTTGGAGGATCGTGATTCTCCTTTATCACTTTGTCAATAACACGGAGGAGCCCCAGTTCACTATCGACCACCTGCTCCACATCTATGGCCCCTGAATCTTCCGAAGGGGGTTAATCAAGCTTGCCCGAAGGGGAAAGAAAGCTCCCTTCTCGAGCATCGACGAAGACAGGGACTGAGGCTGGTAGGGAAAATTTGTTCGGATAAAGACCGAGGATCTCATTCCCTCCGATTTTCTGTCGTTCCCCGAGAAGTGTAACTCAAAACGTAAGTTCATCTCCTATTAAGTAGTTAAAATAATTCTTTGATTTTATTCTTCTTTCTCATCGCCCGACTTACCCGTTGTGAAGCGGTCGCCCGAGTCCCCCATTTCAAGGAGTGGTTCAAGGGGATCTGTAAACAATTGACATACTCCGAGCATGAGTGGCGCAAACTTTCAAAAGGTAAATAGGAGGCATGTTCCCATTGTGAGTATTCCCTTTCTACTGATTTGAATTTTCCCTTTCGTTCCACTGTTATTTTGACTAAGTGCCTTTCTTCCTTTTACAGGTTTGCCCAAGACCACTGAACTTCGGGCGGTGGACGAGGACGAGGCCCCGTCCCCATCTGCGAAACCCTCCTCTTCGGGACAACTTGCAGTTGAGGCCTTTGTGAAGAAGGAGGAGAAAAAGAGAAGAAAGAGGGGATCTTCTGGCTTCTCGGATGCTCCATCAAGGCCAAGAAAAAGAGGGCCACGGTCAGGGTTCGAAAGAATACCAAGAAGAGTACTTAGGCTAGGGTACCGAATCTGATTCTCTCTACCGGCTTAGGGATCACCCTGAAGAAGATGACATGGAGTTTGTCGCCCGTGAGTCGGCCATCGCTGCAGAAGAGCAGGCAGCACTAGAGGGAGGCGACCATGAGGCCAAACCCTCTTCATTTCGGGAGCATGAGGGAAAGCCCGTGGCTACTACTTCTCGAGAAGCTACTCTAGTTCTAAGAGAAATTATCAACGTCATTGACATTCCGAAGTCACTGTTTCACACAGAGTCCCTTTTTGACGAGGCCCAGGCCGTTAGATAAAAGCCAAACGAGGCATCACGGGACGTAGATGAGGCCCTTAACTTATTTTTTGAAGGCATGGACATTGGTGCATTGGAGGACTACTCTGGTTTTGGCCACCCGTAGATCCCGAGAAAGGAGTTATTGTCATAGTCAGGTGGGTCAAGCTCAAGACCAAAGCTTGTGAAGCAGTTCCCCGCCCCGAGCGCGAATCCAGACCGTAAGAAAACGGTCATGTTTACGATACCGGTGGATACCAGGGTGCTATCCGGGCCGGTTGGCATAGCCATCTACCTTCGTTGCTTGTTAACCGAAGAGGACCAAGCGAAGATGAATGAAGTGGACGCGCCGAGCCTTTTCAACGAGGCACAACATGCACCGAACATGGTGCATTTCCCTTTCCTTATATCATTAATGGGTTCATTTAGCCTCAACATACTTTAATGGTTTCAACATTTTTATTATTCAGGCCTCTGTGCTTCATCATGAGAGCTTTCACTGGTCTCGGATAGAGGTGGGTCATCTCGAGTTCGAGCTCAAGGAGCAGGTCCGGCAAAAGTACATGTACAAATCTCTTCGTGAGCAAAAAGATTAGGCCCTCAAGGACCTTCACGTCCTCCAAGCCGAGGTGGAAAGAGCTCAAAAGGAGACCTTGACGGTGAAATGGGAACATTTCATTCTGGTCGAAAAGGTAAGGGTGTTTGAGTTTAATAACGAGAGGTTAAGCGCAACTGCTAACGCCACAACCTCGCAGGTCCAAGAGAAGATAGACCTGATCGACCAGCTCAAGGCCAAAATGAACGAGGTAGAAGCCTCGACCGAGGAGTTGAGGAACAAAATGGATTTCGTAGCCTTGGAAAGTGATGACACTAAAGAGAATTTGGCATCGACCAAGTATCAGCTCCGGGTGATGAAGGATAAAGCCGACAAATGGTCTTGGCTGAATGATGAGCTCCGAGCACAACTGGACTCGGTCGTCATGGAACATGATACCCTCGGCTGGGTGTACACCGCACTAAAGTCTAAGTTGGAGGCGGCTTCGAACGAGTCCTCTGAAGTTGAGGATATGCTGGCCCAGTATAAAGATGATGTGGAGATGGCTGAGGCCCGCATAGTAACAAAGGTCGAGTATATGAAGTGGATATCCCGGAGTGAGACCCTTGAGGAGATTCATTCCCGGGGGTTCGATCTGGAGGCTGAGATAGAAGAGGCAAAGAGGCTCGAGACCGAGACAGAAGAGAGATATGAGCCCGAGGGTTCGGGCAGATAGTCGGGTTTGGTGAAAACTAGGCGAAAAATGCCTTACTTTATTTTTTATTTTCCCTTGTACATTTTTTGGGGCCGATTCCCAGTGCCTCTATAAAT